ATTATTGTGCTTCTTCGGCACAGGAAATATGGCGAGCATCAGTTCATTTGATCCGTCTTGGACGCGTCACTTTATCACCGTCTTCTCTCCATTTATAATGACGTTCTTGATACTTCTTAAACTTAGCATTCCTTTGCTATTAGTGGGATGCGTGAGCTACTCTTTAGAATTGGAAGAATGTAAAAAGCCAAACTCTTTAGCTGTTCTCTTTTTAGGCGATTGTTTGTCATTGCCTTTGATGTATTGTGTCACACCATACGGTAGTTGGCTCGACATCGGTAGCGCTATCAGTAAATTCATTATTGCTATTTCTCTTCCTTGTCTTTTTGTATTATTACAATGTCTTTCGCGTCCACTTATGAAACTGGACTTTGAACGATTTTGGATCGGTCCACTATCTCAAAAGAAACATATCGTATAGAATTTTTTATATGATTAGGAAAATTAAACTAATAATTGTGCTTTAAAAGTATTTGTCTATATATGTTTGTTACTGTCATTTACATTGAAATATCTGACAAATTTGATTTAAAAAAAATCGAACAAATACATCTCTGTGCCTGTATGTATGTGCATGTATGCGTGTGTGTGTGTATATATATATTCAACTGTCGGCCTACTGTGTTTGTACTGCCATTACATCGAAATATCTGACAAATTTGATACAAATTAAACAAATATGTCTGTATGTGTATATATGTATTCGACTGAAATCTACATTCTCTTATATAATTTATTTGTATTACATAAAAATAGATAATTATATTTATTGGAAAATATACGTAATTATTCAAATATCGTTATTATTAATTTATCGTTTTCACTAACATGCACAATTAATACGACCTTTCTACTGATCACTCATGTGACGTGTAAATATAAGATATAAAAAAAGTTATTTTAAAAAAATGTAATCACGTCAATGTTAAAGTGATATATTAAATCTAATTTTTTTTTAAATGCAATCTCAATCAATTTAATTTCTATAATACAGTACATATAATTGGTGAAATAATACATTTAAAATTTGAATTCTTTATACTTCTTAGATGTCTTTGTATCCTGGATTTGCTGGCGTTTGCGTTTGCTCTGCAGAAAAGAAAATAGAAAAGAATTAATATAACTCAAAATTGACATAATGGAAAATTATTTTATTTTATTTAAGAATCAAATCTATATATTTACATTATCATATCACATATATTATTTACATGCATATATATAATAATATGCTATATAATACCTTCTGTCGTTGTACATGATCTTGCAACATGTCTGACAAGTCTTCTCTCCTTAGATGTGCTTGTCTCGACCTCATTGTTTCCTCATATCTGGATGCCATTGCCTCGGAGTCAAGATCCAATTCGCTAGGATCCAACGTCAATTCCACCGCGCCGTCCTTCTCCGCTCGGGCGTCGCTTGCGCTGCCGCTGATAGCACCGCGACGTGCAGCGATCACGGACGGCGGTGCCTGGCCACCTGCCGCACCCGTCATATCGTATACGTGGGTGCTGCCCATCATACTAGCACCCAGACCCTCTGTACGTCGCTCTTGTAACACTGTATAGAGTGCGGGCGTATCACCGCCTTCCATCTCGCTCTCGATCTTCTTCTTCCTCAGCTCAATGGTCTCTGGAGTTTCCAAGCCTGCCGGAATCGACGTGATGCCGCTCGGGGTGATCAGGCCCTCGGCACCGGGAGTAACCAGTCCGCTGGCATCTCCATCTCCATCCTTTCCTTCGCCATCGCCACCTTCGCCACCCTCCTCGGCATCCTCATCCTCGTCCTCGTCGCCTGATGATTCCGACTCAGGTTCGCCCCACATTCCCCGGTCTATTTCTTCATCCATCGCATCCGCGCCAGATGTGCGCGATATACCAAATACGTCTCCATACAGTGGCCTTCCCGTTTCGTCTACTGGTGGTTTTCCCCATCCACCCGCGTGATAGCCGAATGCACAACCTTCTGGAATAGGTGCGTTCAAGCCGGGTATTTTGAGATTCGGATAGCTCGGTGGTGGCCCGTAACGTTGCATAGCTATGAGCCATGGCGGCGGTACTTTCTGACAATTCGGTCCCACTGGCATGCCTAAAGCTGTACGCAGCTCATCCGACAACTCTCCAGGTTTCTTCTCTTTCAAGCGTGTCTCGAATTCCTTGCCCTCATAATAGAGATCGCCGTGGATCGTCATACGTGGTTTAGTCTGCCACTTGAAGAACGCATCGTGTAGCTTCTGATAATCAATGTCAATCTTGCCCAGTTTGGGTCGCGCTCGCTCTCGCATCTTTGCCTTTAATGTACGTGTGTCATCACGCTCTTGCAAGCTTGCCCTCATCTCCGTGATCCCGGTGCGCTTTATAAAGTCTGGCAAATCGAATGGCGGTTTCTCTATTCCTCGTTTGCCCTGGAGGTACTTGCGCTTGAAGCACCAATGCCTCGGCACTGGAACAGTATTTCGATGGGCCTTCAGCTGCACGAGTAACTTTGGATCTCGTGCAGTAACGTCGTGCATCTCCACGACATCGGGGCGACCAACCAGCTGCTTCAATTCCGCCACGCTCAGCCGCGTCAGCCTTTTAAGCTTGCGCTTAGACAGACGCGGCGCACCGTTCTCTCCTGTGCCCTGTTGCTGCTGTTGCTGATTCCCTTCGTCATCAAAGTCGTCCAACAATGGTACCTTACTTGGTATGCCGGTGCCAGAGCTTTGTATATTTGTTACTGGTGGATACTGCCCGATGGGTTCGCCCTTATCAGCTGCATCGTTTGGACTCGGTTCTGGCTCCACCAGCTTGAACGCCTCAAAGACTCTGGCAAATTGACGGTACATAGGCTCCAAGTCATTTATACTTGGTATCTCCTGTATATACTCTATCTCTGGCATATCTTCTTTATTCTTTGCTTCTTCCATGCCATCCTTCTTCTGTTCAGAGTCCTTCTTCTCCGCATTGTGCCTTTTCCTCTTTGACTTTTTCTTCTTTTTTGTCTTGCTCGATTTGGATTCTACTTTCTCGGTCGTTGGTTCCAGTTCCGTCATAACGTCTTCTATGCTCACATTTCTCAGAACATCCTCGCGATCGTCGTTTGGTGATTTACTTACAGCAACAAGGTCATAAAGATCTCCACCTACTTCCTTGGCTCTCTCTGTTTTAAATGCCAGAGCTTGCTCCAAAGCAGCTGGTAGTTTGACAGAGCCGCTATCTCCATCTCCAACACCATTGTCAATATTCTGATTTGACAACTCTGATGGGGGAACCACCTTCAAGCTCAAGAGACTCGGAAGAGTTTTGGCATCCATGCTAAACGACTGAAATTTAAGGTCTTTCTTATAACTCAACTATTTTTGATATAAAGTACTTAAAATAAATGTTAGTATAAAGATTGTGTTAATGCAAATTAAATATAAAAGAAAAAAATATATAAAAATATATATTTTGTATGATAAAAAGAAAGAGAGAGAGA